CCCGCTTTCGACGGTGTGAAGTGGAAACTGGTTTTTCTTGGTAAACTGGAGTATCTTTGCTCTGACACTGCCTACCCGGGTTCACGTACGCTAAGCGCATTTGGGTTTTGGTCTGGTAATATTCCGTATCTTTGGGTCGGTTCTGTCAACGCCGGGTTCACTCTCTCGCTTTTTTGTTTGATTTTACGGTAGTGGTTCATCTTTGCTCATGGTTCCATCAACATCGGGCACCCTTTCGATCGTTTGCTTTAGTCTGGTATGGCGTATCTTTGATGTGGTATACTGGATTCTTGTGAAAGAGGTTATGGACAATGTTTGCCATTGTTCCCTCAACATCGGGTTAGAGTTCAATACCCTAGAATTCTGGTTGCCGTTGCTCTAGCTCCATGACCATCGCCCAAGGCTTCCACCCCGGTGCGGATTTCGGTTGAACAGTTTTAGGCTTGTTGTTGTCTATTTCCCTGTCAAGATCGTACACGGCCTTGGCCTTGACAACCAAGGTGTTTTTTTTACCCGCTGGCAGGAGCGCCTGCGCCGAGTGAGCGCTGCCGGAAATATTAATTTTTCATCAGTACTGCTGTAGGGCGTTGGAGATGCATCGTTCGGCGTCGGTGTCTCTTGGTTGCTGAACCGTTGTGCTACTTTTCGTTGTTACCGTTGTGCAGAGGTAGTGTGCTGTACAAGCAAGTGAAGATGGCGAAATTGGTTTTCGTTCTATCTCACGAGCTTCGCGTCGAGCAGTACCGACGTTTGTTTTGGTGGTGGTTTGCGTAGCATCAACGTGGGCGTGGACGACTCACCAATGCATGATCTCGTCGAAGTTGTATGGTTCGTCGGTTGATTTTTGCTGTTTTATGGTCCGAAATTACCAGGAAGCACTGTCAAGTTTGCTCCCGTGTGGCGGATTTTGTTCTGCTATTGGGGCACAAGATCCCTTGGAACCATTACGCCAGATATCAGGTCCCGGTCTTCGAAAACCCATCGTTCGCAAGCTAGTATAGCATACTATAGTCAGCAAACACAGAGAATATTTTCCGCTATGTATTCGGATCTCGTTTTTGACGGGGGCGAACTGACGGTTTTGCGGTGGATTGAACGAAATCGCGTGAGTAGTCTTTGGGCCGTGCAGGCGTCGGAGCAGCGTTTCAAGTGGGGATAAGACAGAACATCGAACACCAGCAGCAACAGCAGAAGCAGCAGCAGCAGCATCAGCAGCAGCAGCAGCAAACAACAGCGACGAACACAACACATTGAAGTACCATCACCACCACTATGAACACCACCACCAACAAGCTCCCGCCACCTGTTTTTCGGTCTTACATCTCTGGTTCGTTTGTACCTCCGCAGGGGGTGAAGTAGAGGCGAACGAGCTCGTGACGGCCTACATTCTGACAGGAAACGCAGGACAGGGGAGTGACAGGTGCAGTATGAGACGCAGATTCGACAGTAGAGGCAGGGGTAGTAGCAGCCGCCGTAGTAGAAACTTCGACAGCGGGAGCGGGAGCGGGAGCAGCAGCGGCAGCAGCAGCAGCAGCAACAACAGCAAGATCACTGTTATGCGTAGAAGTTGTACTCACATCGGCAGGTTCACTCCATCCCTCACATGAAACTTGCTGTCACTGGCGGCTTGAACCCCTTCGTTCGGCTTGAGTCTTGCCTTGCGTCACGGATGAAATCCGCAACCGTGGCCCGTGTACCACATCCCGTGTTTACACCCGTCGCGAAAATGCTACGGTTCTCCTCACGCGTGTTTTCACTTGGCACTCTCATTCTCTCCCCCATTCTTTCCCTCGTTGTCGCTCACTCATATTCGCTATCATTGATCGTCTCTCTCTCACGCTGCCATGTGCATGGAAACACAAACACTGTTTCCTTTCCGTCTCCCTTCCTGCTTCTCCCTCTCCCCGACTGTCTACCATTGTCGCCCATCTCAGGATCCGGTGGATCCTGGGGTTGATTTTTGTGTGCCTGACACTGGCCATGATCCGGCACGACACGAGGAAGTGGTATCGAAACAGGCGTGCCAAGGCCAGGCGTGAGTTTGAGCTTCTGTTCTAAGCACAGCGGTAGCTACGTCAGTGTCGGGCTCCGGCAGTCCTGGCGCTTGGCCTCATTTGGGTCAACAGCGGCTGATGGGCCTACGAGCTATCGACACACGGCGACCCCTTGTTGTTCCATTGGATGACAACCAGATGCAGTGATCCCCATATGGCACGGCACGCAGGCGGCGAAAGCTGTACCGTGACCACATTGGTTGTCCCTCCAGACTCAACGTTGTCCCCGCATCGTGAACAGCATGCGCTGCGGGGCATTTGACCGCTAGAAGCCCCGCTCCCCCGACGGGCTTGTGCCGGCACCTCAAGCTCTGGAACCCCCTTTTCCGCCCTCTGCGTTTTCTATCCGCAGGAAACAAATGTCACTGCTTCTGCGGCTTCACCTTTTTCACTCTGATCATCCTCAACGTTCTGATGTGGCTGGTGAGTCGCGAGGCAGGCAGGCAGGCAGGCCTCCCGTCGCTTCGTTTTTGAAAGCGCAACACTGTTGTCGCCTGTGGGCATACTTGGCTTCGTGCTTGCTTTTGCTTCTGACCCCGCTTTTCCTTGCCGCATGGATGGCAGCAGTTTCATGGTGTCCATCCCTTTGGCGCCATTCCCCGTAACGTTCATCATGGCCGTCGGTCCTTCCTGAAGCAACCTTCGAATTTCGTCCACCCCGGATTTTCCTCACATCCGTGTCGCTACTACCCTGGGTTTTCCTCACAGCCCTGCCATATTTGCCCCTTATCCTCGCGATTTCTTCGGGCAGGGCTGGGCATTTCTGGGACAGGTCATCGCGCTCGAGGTGGTTGTTCAAAACACGGGCGAAGAGAGTGCGGTACTAGACGCGGTATGTTTGGAAAATTTCGCATGCAGGTTCACCGTCGCCACCATTCTCGATAGAGCTACCGGTTGAGGACTCTCATTTTTCAGCCCCGGCAAAACGTGGGATTTGTTCGCGCTGCTCCATCACACGACGCGGCCTAGCTTTGGGCTGTTTGTTCGACCGGGCTGATGTTCTCTAAGAAACCTCGAGCATAATTGCAGTAGCTCTCTATTGTAGTGTGTAGCCTCGTTCAACGATACCTTATTCATCGATCCCTCCGCCCTCCGCCACTGAAGGACCGTATCCATAAATACAATTTCTAGGTCGACTGGTTACCGCCAATCGTTGGTCATCATCGAAACATGGTAGTGCATGCTATGTACGCGTGCATTTTGTGTCCTGAAGCCTAGCCCAAAGGGCAGAGACCGTGGAATTGCCCGCAGCTCTCCTACTTGCAAGTGGGGAAGGGAATGGACTACGATTCACCACGCGCGCAACCGACGAAATTTTGCTTGCATTAACGCCGTTTTTTGTTCTCAGAGACAGATTGCCCTGGAACCCAAAAGCCTACCATTTTGCTACTTGTCCGCTCGCTACGTCGAATAAACGACAATGGTCGACGCAGCTAGTTGGGCAGGTTCTGGCCCTCCAAGAAGCGGCTCTTTTCTCGTGGGCACTCCACATCATTTTTCTCCTCACAACCTTGGCCGGACTCTACCGCTGGATATTCCAGGCAAGAGATCGACCCAGCGATACGACGGAAGAGAAACTTTGTTCCGAAGGTGTTCGTGGTTGTAATGGTATGGTGAAACATGTCGATATTCAGGGCGTGTACTAACGTCCCTTTGCTAGACAGGGAACCGGGAACAGGGAACTCGGAATTCCCTGTGTCCCTGTGCCGTGTCGTTGTGTCCTAACATACGCCACATTTCCAGGAACACGGAACAATTCAGCGCGCGTGCGGCCCGCAAGTACCCAAAGGCAACAAACACAACCATTGGATGCAGCAGAAAAGACAAGTGGGGGGTACAGGGCGGTGTAGATATTGAAGGAAGCTGTTGACGAGCGCACATCAAACACATGCGCTAGATATCGGCTAGAAGATGCAGTGCTCGTCATGCAATCCGCACCCTCGACGGTGCTCTGGACGGCTTGCTTTTGAGTTGTGGTCCACGACAGCTTGCCATATGTTTGACACTTTTGTGGTCCTCCATGCAACGGCTACACGAGCATCCACCGCCGTTTTTTCGCATGCGAGACACCGGGTGATGTTGGCAATGTCTATACGGCTTGAACTAGTAGCATGCAGCACCTGTGGCAGCCACATGCCCGAGAGCGATCACAGATATTCCACCACGTCCTGATTTGCCACGGAAGAGCCCGTGTTCCACGTTCCCTATGGTCTGTTGGCTAATTTGAACTCCCTCGAGAGTTAAAATTATGGTGCGGCGTAACTACCTCAAACAGGGAACGTGTGTATCAGTTCTTGTTTCCAGGAAAGTTGTTTTGTGTGACTGGCCAATCAGACAGAAATTCCGAGTTCCCTGTTCCGTGTTCCATGTCCCCAAAAGGGACGATAGTGCACGCCCTCACTACTTGGACAGTTGCAACAGTTGCTCTCGAAACTGTGAGCGGGGAAATGTACAGGAGAATGTGAAACCGCCGGTGCCCGGGCGCTTGGAGAAAATTCGGCAGACGACAGTCCAATTTGTTGAACTCCTCTTTGAGTGAAGTAGGTACGCTGGTCAGAGAGAACAAATCGCCGTCACACACGATGGCGGCGCTCGTGATGGGGTTTTACGGAGGTCGTGTGTGTTGCGTTAGTTTCATTGGTGGTTACACCAGCTGGGTGCATACATTCGTATCTGCTTGCTTTTTCCGTCTCGACGTTCGTGGCAAGTCATACGAGATAAGTTTGAGGAGGTAATGGTGATGTGTCTTGTGCGAGGACGGCGCATTTCGAGGGCGAGTCTTCTGTTTCCATTACTCCTTTTGGACTTGAAATGTTTCGTTATTCTCGGCTTTGCTCTGCTTTATCAGTTTGTCGCCTTCTGCTGACACGTGACATTGTTCCGCCTAGGGCAACCGCGTCCTTCTTCCTTTTTTTTGGCTGCACCTCACGCCTCCGCTTCACACAGATGCTCACGTTCCACAAGCGCATGAGCATCGTCACCGACACCCTTAGCAGAGCGAGCACCCACCTCGACCACTTCCTGTTCGTGTTTTTCCTGGTAAGGCGGAACCCGTTGCCGGACAAGAGGTGTCTTGGGGTACTGGTGCTGGTCATAGTACTGACGACGCTGTTGGTAGTGCGTTGTGCATAGTCGCGGTGGTCAGAGGTAGTGTTTCGCTTCTCGGTGTGGTCGCGTGTAGCCCGCTTTCTTCGTGGGCCGAGGTGAAGAAATGGTAGCTTTTCCTGTTGAAAGCCGTTGCTTGTATTGAAACGTCCACAGACGTATGTAATCACACACTATGGAACTGAAGCTTTTGACAAGGGAGTCAAGACTACTATATCCCTTGCTTGTGTTTCCGGCATTCTGTTTTTGCCACCAACACTCTCGGCAGGTTTCTCCCGCCTCTCCGTGTCCACCACGCAAACAATGATTTTAGTTTCGGTCAGACGTTGACGACCCGATCTTCGAACATGTCGAAGGGTGTATCGCATATTTACCGACCAAAGCACTAGTTAGATATCACAGTTTCGGCAAGGGGACGAACAACACGTGCATACACACACGTCCCGCGAAGAAAACCACATGAGAGCATAAAAATATAAGCGACAGACTGACATGGAAACCCGGCTCAACTGTTACTTTTTTTCCACTCTTTCTCCAGGTAATCCTTGCGTTTGCCGCCCTCACATGGCTCCTCGTCGGGTCCAGCACGAAAGAGTTTTCCACCCTGGTGGAAGCGTGGGGGAGCGTGACCCGCATCTCCCTGGGGGAGTCGGAGAATTTCTACCCGCAGATCCTGGACGCGCAGCCCACGGTCGGGCCGGTGGCGGTGGTGCTGTACCAGGTCCTGGGCGTGGTGTTGCTGCTGAACGTGGTGATCGCTATCTTTCTCGAGGTGGGGTGCTTGGTGTTGTTGTTGTTGTTGTTGTTGATGTTGGTGGTGGTGTTGCAAGTGTTTTTTTTTGTATTTTTTGGTGCTGCTGTAGTTGTTGGTTAAGGGTTGCTCATCCTCGTGTTTCGCAAGTTGTGTTGCTCACAAAAACCTTACCTGCGGCGTCGGTTGCTGATGGCACCACCGCTGGTATGTCTACCGCCAGGTTGTTGTGGTGGTACCAGGCGCATGAAGCTTCAGGCAGTTTTGAGGCACTGAATGATGGCGCATAGTGTTGGATCGTGTGCTCATCCCGGAAGTGATGGATCGTTCCGTCGCCGATCCGGGGCACATCTTCTTCCGTATTCTTGAGGGCAAGAGATTGACTTTCGCAGGACCAAGAAGAAACAAAACAAATTGTCTCGGAATCAGTCGCCCAACCCCGCCCATGCAAAGTAGCACTGTTCTGCGAAAAGCCCAACAGTAAGCAAAGTAGATCGCCCTGCCCAGACTCGAGGACTAAGCCGGAGACTAGGCCGAAACACCTATGCTACAGCACGACCGACCGCAGTGAGCCTCAAAGAACCCGTGCTCGCGCCCTCACGAAGCCGGGAATTGTTCGTCTTATGGCTCTCTGCCGACCCTTACGCCCCCCCCCCCCCCCCCCCCCCCCCCTTTTTCCTTCT